AGTACTTAGAAAAGCAGTACCCTTCCCCTTATCCACAATTTCATTTTCTCTGGTTTCAATTATGAATGGTCAACCATTGCCAGAAAACACTGTATGGAAAATTCCAAAAATAAACAATTCGTAAGTTTTAAATTGTGCACCGTTCTGAGTAGAATGATGAAGCCTCATGCCCTGCTGCTCCATCCTGCCTGGGATGTGACTCGTCCCTTTGCCCAGCGTGTCCACAGAGTTTATGCTCCCCATCCGTGAGACACCAGGTACCTGTCTCAGTTACCAGATGGCAGTATCGCAGTGCTTATATTCAAGTAACCCTTATTTTACTTAAAAATGGTCCCAAAGCACAAAAGTAGTGATGCTGGCAATTTGGATATGCCAAAGAGAAGTCATGCAGTGCACGTATGTATAGGAGAAGACAAGGGTTCATTCATTTGGCATTATCTGCCGACTCGGGCAACCACGGGAGGGCGGAGCGGGGTGGGGGGGGCGGTCTCGGAAAGTGTGCCCTGCAGGTAAGGAGGGACTAGTGTAGTATAAAAATCCACAGCATTCTTAAAGGGATTAAAGACCTAAAACAAGACCATATAAGTCAGCAACCTTTACCATGCCATCCCCACGACCCTGTGACTGTCTGGCTCATGGGGCCGTTCATAAAAGCTCAATCGCATTTGCTTACTCTTCAGCACCATGGCGCTGTCCATTTCCCGGACCTGTATATGCTTGAGGCAAAGTCCTCTGATAGATAGTCTCCATGGCAAGTGCTTCCTTCACTCACAAAACAGTAGACCTCGTTCAACATCATTCTGCCCGTGAGTGCTCAGGGCTGCACCCGATAGATGTGGCTAAAAAAACTGCAGACTTGGTTGTAGCAAACATACACTTTGACTGCTAATCGAAATTCAGCAGCACATACGCAGAGCATTTTTTCAATACACTACTGTGAGCACATGAGCTGGGAACCACTGGCTGCTGGAATATCTTGCATTTTCTTATTTTCTATTAGTGTCTCCTGTACATGAGTCCCTAATCTCCATCTCTGGCCCTTGCCTCACCCTCCTTCCATCTGATTTCACTGTGCATGACAAATCACCGTAGCATCTCAAATCCTTGGTGTAAAAAGGCAGGGAAATAAACTGAACAGCTATAGATAGGCTGAATACTACCCCCAGGAAGAAGCGTGACAGACCTCACGTTTTTGCATATTTTCACATTAGAGTAATTCAGTCCGATGTGACTTTTACTTGATCTTTTCCCTGCTCATCTCCACTCTTGGACCTAACACACGCACACGCATGCGCACACACACACACACACACACATGCACACATCAAAGACATACACTCACATCCATACACTCAATTATACAAACACCTACACACACTGAAGCACATGTTCTCTCTCTCTTGCTCGCTCACTCGCTCTCTCTCTCTCTCTCTCTCTCACACACACACACACATACACACACACCCGCAGATTTCAAATCAGATAGTGATGTTCTTAGCAGGCAGACCTGCCCGTCTAGGCCCTCCGTTGAACCTGAGCTCTCAATTCCTCCACAAGCCACTGCATGAACCTCTACATGCCATCGCGTCTCTGTGAGCCTTAGTCTACTCTTTGGAAAAGAGGAGTCACACACCTAGACTGCCTTCCTCATAGGACTGCTGTGAAAACCCAGCGTGAAGTCACAGAAATACTGTGCAATGCCGTAATACCCTACAAAATCACAAAAGGCCGGTACTCCTGCAGTCTTATTTTTAATAATAAAAATTCTTCGCCATCATGATGGACACTCTCTTCTTCCCCCCACGATTGAGCGGGCCTCCCTGTTTGCTGGCTCTGTAAGAGCCAAGAGCTTCTGCAAGGCCAAGAAGTCATGTGCCTTTGTTTGCCCAGAGCCACGCCCAGAATTTCTACTCACTTCACCACAGCGGGCACCAGAAACAGCTTTAGCTAAGTTAATCCCCAGCTGTGCCATTAATTTTTTAAAAAGCCACACATGAAAGAAAAGCCTGATAAATTTTTAAACAATCCTTGGGGGCTGAAGCTAAGTGTTTCTGCTTTTTTCCTCTTTTCTATCGGGCTACACTATTATCTCAGAAAGAGGGTGAGGTGGTAAAAAAAGGAAGCCACCACGATCATAATCACATGAGTAGAACGTTCCGGAGCACAGCCATCTCCCTGCCTTTGTCCACTGTGCCGCACCCGGGACGTCCCTTCTCCTCTTCCCCTCAAGTGTCCGCTCTCCTATTCTCATTGTTCAAATGAGAAAGTCGAGATTCACAGGGACACAGAGTGACCCAACATCAAGCAGGTGGGACCTGGAGATACAGCTGAGAGCTGTATCTTGGTCCTTTTTCAAGCCCCTGGATCCGTCCACGGGCCACACACAGCATGGCTGTCAACAACATCGTAACTGTCTCCAGGATTTGCTCTGACTGCGCAGACAAGCTGCACTTGGAGGCGGAGGCGGGGCTCCCACGATGATGACTTTTCTTCAGTATCTCCAACATGCCACACGCATCTGCCTCTGGGCCTCCCTCTGCCCTGTCCTCCTTGCCTATCTACCCCTCCTGGGACTAGACTGGGTGTCCCTGCTGTGTCTCCCCCGGCCTCCTGTACTCCCCCTTATAACCACCGTCCACACTTTGCTGAAATGTCAGTCTTTGCTAAACTCTGGGAAGTCAAGGGCAAGCTCTGCTCGTTCCTGCTTTCTCTTCACACCCAGCATGGTCCCGGAACAGACCAGGTGCTTTATGATTAACTTCCCAAATGAGTAATTGAGTGTTGAACAGATGAAGGGTGCGGCATTTGGAAAGCCACAGGGCCCATTCACCCATTTAATGGCATTCTTGTTGCTGCCACAACATGTACATTATTAGCAGACGTCCGAGGAAGCCGAGGGTCCCACAAATGAGCTCCGCCCAAGACCATCCTCTTTGGTTTGTCGTTTCTCCCTTAAGCGATCGATCTTTCTGGACTGGGTGGCTTATGTGGACCAAATGAAATGTAAACACCTCATCAAGAGACTCTTCCCCAGAATGAAGCCAAATTTTCAGCACCTCTCCTCCCCATGCCACTGACCCTGTTGGAATCACTCCGTCTGATTCCCCTTTGCACACGGGGTAACTACCAGCTTCGCGCACAGGCCTACAGCAGCAGGATCAGCCAGCCTTTCTGAGGCCTTTCCTGAGTGCCTAACACTCACGAATTGCTTTGCCAGAGTCCTTCCTCCTGGATGCTTGAGATGCGGCCGGTGTTAGGCCCACTTTGGGTATCAGAGCATGGAGGCTCAGAGAGGTGGCAGGGCAGGCAGGTACGCCCAAATCCATCTGGTGCGAAAGCCTGGCCAGTCCATCTCCACTCTAGCGGGCCACCGCTGGGAGGCAGGGTGACCACTGTGCAGACTGAGGACTGTACAACTCCGGGGGCACCGTGCCCCAGACTCACCTCCAAGACCATCTTGTTAAACTTCCCTGGGAAACGGGTTCTGAGAGAAGCACGGCCCTGCCATGGGCCACAGCCGCAAAGGGACCCCGAGCTCCCGACTCATCGGTCATCGCGTCAGCCCCTGCCATCGCTTGCTTCAGTTCCCCTGGGGGCGCAGGGTCAGCAAGTCCCAAGAGAGGAACCTGCTCACACACATCCCCCACACTTCCCTCCCATGCTGCCAGAGGCGACCACATTCTGGCCACTGATTCTTAGCCAACTGCACTATTAAGGCATCGGTCATTTACATCACCCTGTCTCAGAGGACCGGAATAAAGATGGGTAGGAGGTGGTCCTCACCCTCAGAGGTCACACCTCTGGATGGGAACTCAGCAAAGCTCTGCTGGCAAGACCTGAGTGGGCCCAGGAGGGGGTTTCTTAGGGAAGACTAAGCCCAGAGCTGGGCAGGACGCAGGGCTGCTCTGGGGAGGCACGGGGCCAGTTCCGCCCCAACCCTCCTGTCACCTGCTCCCCAGCCAGCGCTCTGGCCTCCGGGAGCTTTATGGGAACAGTGCCTCCCACAAAGGATGTACTGAGAAGATTCAATGCAATAGCCGGGCAGGCAAATGGGAAGCCTCCTCCTACCAAGGCTAGCTTCTTGCGGGTGCCCTGGGGCCATCCCTGACCTGGATGTCTGGACTCCTGTCCTCGGACCTCAGGCGTCCCCTGGAGGATTCCATCAGGCCCAGAGTCCCGCCGCCCAGCACCTGGCTGCTCCGCCACCCACCACCCAAGGTCCATGGGTCCACCCGCCTCAGGAACGGTTTGGTTCCACACCGTGTGCCAGGCAGGAATGGGGTGGAGGCCGGGTTTCTGACAGTGAGCCCTCAGCTCCCCACCCAGAGACAAAGCATAAAGACCAGGGATTGTTTCCGGCCACACCCAGGGCCACAGCCCACTGCTCAGCCCCAGCTAGCACCCCAGGGTTAACCCTTCCCGGGCTACGGCCGCCTATGCAGCCCCATTCGGTTATTTTTAGCTGCGGCGAGGAGAGGGAGGGGCCCCTCCATCATGGCGCTGTCTCTAGGTCGAGACTTCCACCCCGTCGCTACGCGCAGGAGGGGGAGACGGTGGTCGCTCTTTATCCTTTCTCTGGCGGGTTAGAAACTCGGCAGCGAGGTGCAAGAGCTGGACCGCGGGAAGACGGCGCGCAGGAGGCTCGGCTCCAGGGCTCCGGGAAGGGGGTTCGGCCGCCGCGCCCCTCCCTCTTTTGTTCAGCTCCGCATCCTCCCAGTCCACGCCATCTAGCACATCCCGTAGGGTGGGGGGGAGGGGGCTGCAAGCCCGTGGGGAGAGGGACCCGAGGCTCCAGCCCCGCCCCGCCATGCGGGGCTCCCCCTACCCCCATTGTCCCCAGAGGCTGGGGGAGGGGGCTGCAATGAGAGGCCAGCCCCGCCCCACCCGGCGCGTCTCAGAAAGCCTCGGGGGCCGCCCTGGCCCCCTGGCAGATCCCGACCCTGGCGGCGACCACCCCCACCCCACGAGGAACCGCGGGGCGGGGCGGGGGCCCGGCTTACCGTGATATGCGGGATGCTTTTCTTGCCCTGGTAAGACATGGCCCCCTCTGGCGCCCTCGGCCCGGCCCGTGGACCTGTGGGCTGTCCTTCGCTCTGTACGGCTGTCTCTCGGTCCCGCTCCTGCGGGCGCGGTGACAAAGCCCGGGAGGGATGAAGAGAGGGACGGAGG